ACAAACAGATTAATTGATTGTCTTGTTTTCAGTGTCTTCAGGCTGAGGTCTTTTTGGGATCTCAGAGACAAAGACAGGGGAGGGGGCAGAGCGCTGGCTGAGTGTGTTCAGATAATTTGGAGTGGTTTGGGATGCAAAGGTTGGCTCCTGTTCCTTAACCTGCTCCAAAGTAACACGACAACAACAGCAGCAAGTTAGCTTTCATTTACCAGTTTCTGAATTTGTGAGATAATGCGGCTCTTATAATGGGCTCTACAATTTGTTCTCAAATTGAATCAGCAGTCAACTCCATTAGGTCAAGTGCCATTAATATTATGAGAAGTACTTGACTGTGTTTGAGCTCAGTGAAACATGTACAAAGACTACACAAGACACACAATAATGCGTGCTATGATACAGTGTGTTAATGTGTAAAGCCACCAGCTCAATATCTCATTGTCCCTGTCGCTCGGCCTTGTCAGAAAAGTGTAAACACTGATGTATGAGAAGTGTAAATGATGGACTCATTAACAGCGTGTAACAATGTGTGTGTGCTTGATGTTTACAAAGGTTAAGTGCTGGAATATGTTGAGCTTGGCTGTGAATCAGTATTTAAACAGAACCGGCTAACAAGAATTCACTGAGTCTAATTTACAGTGGTGTAATAATGACAGCCGACAGTAAACATTAACTTCCTGGTCACCGCGCTGTTGTAGCTAACTGGAGCTAATCGCACCACACTGATGTGTTCACATTAGAGCAGGTGAAGCCCTGCAGGCTCACACAGTTATCAACAGCCATGAGCGGTGCAGTGTTTGAATACAGTTAAGGTGTTGGCACATCAGCATGTTTAATCTAACTGTTATCGAAGTCGTTACCAATGGAATAAACATTAAGTGTTGCTCGAATAATTCTCTGTAACTGTCCACAAGTCAGCAGATGAAGGTTGTTAGTGAAACTGAGAGAGTCGTAAGCATTTCCTTTTTTTTCTAAATGTTGAAATAAGCACCAACTCTTGCCAGTATTTAAAAGATACCAGGTTTTATGAGTCTATAGGTGCTTAAGGCGTTATCGATTGTTTGCCACGGACTCTTTGAATGTCCCTCATATTGTTATCAGTCCAATTTAACTGACGTCGTAGATTGTTTTCTCACTGCTTGAGTGAAACAACTTTCAGGTCCAACGTGTGAGTGTGTGGTTAGTGTCATTTTTATTGTATTCCAGCAGATTTAGAATTTTTGCAGGTCAATACCAATGTTTAAGAGGTGGGCTGATCATTTTTAAATTTTCAGAGTCCCTGAAATTAGTTTTTTAGAGGAACAAAGTGTAGTTGATGTGAGCTCTCTCTTTTGGACAATCGATGTAACTGTGATAATGTTTCTAAATGGTCTGAAACATATTTTTAACATTTCTGCTCTGCAGTTCCTTGTTACTGATCGACCAACATATAAGCAGATGCCAGTACACCTGCAGCAATCTCATGTTTGCCGATATGTTAGCCCGGCTGATTTATTGCTCTAGCCCTGTGGTTTTCAAACATTGTGTGCCCAAGGCACACCAAAGGGCAAGCCAAAATCTCAAGGCACACCTGTATTTATATCTGTCACACACTGGCTGCCAATCAGGGCTCTTGATATGTCACACACTTAAGATTCCCACATGTGCACGGCTACAAACACGTTTCCTGTTAAGGTTTTTTTTTTTTTTTTAAATAAATTAAAATCAATTACATTTTTTAACTAGAGTTTGACTATTTATTAAGAAATGGGTGCCCACAACATATTGATACAGTCAATTAAAAATGTATTTGTAACTTTTTGTACAGACCCAGTTGAATATTGCAGTATGTGTGGTTATCACAAAATCCCATGGCACACCTGGATAGGCATCTCAGCACACCAGTGGCAGAAATACACTGGTAGATGACCATTCTTTAGCAGTGTAACATGTCATTGTTACATCTCTCCAGCATGCCGAGTTCAGGCCAATTCAGCTCCAGGTCACTTTGGCTACCTGGGCAGGCTTTGTGCTAAGCTAAGCTAAGCTAACCAATTGCTTGTGGTAGCTTTATATTAACTGCACAAATATGAGAGTGACATCAATCTAGCTCTCCGCAAGATAGCAAATAAGCCTATTCACAAAATGTCTAGTAATATAGATGCTGCTGCACAATTTTTACACAAGCATCACTATGCAAATTGTGTAACTGGTCCAGGTTTATGCAAAAAAAAAAAAAAAAAAAGATTCACAGCCTCTCTTTTAAATAGGCTTTGTGATTCCTTCTCAGCGTGATTCATTCTAATTTTCTAATGTCATTTGAGTCAATCTGATTTGTCATAATCGAGAGAGACTGTCAGCACCAGAGCAGTTGATGTGTTGTTGCCAGTGTTGTTTTTGTTTTCTGGGTGGTGCTGGTTTTGGGGCAGGCAAATACATCCTGCCGTGTTTTTTATTTATTTATTTTTTTTCTTGTTGCTGTATTTGGAAAATGCTGCTTTGTCAGCAGGTCAGGTAGATTTTTTTTTTTTCCCTCCCCCAGTTCTCCTTTCCCCGCACAAACAAACATTAAGTGCACTCACACACTCACAGTGTACACACACACACACACACACACACACACACACACACACACACACACACTTATAATCTCTGCTTTGTCCTCCTTTCTCCTCTTTTGCTCCCTCTCTTTCTCTCTCCCTCTCTGTGCGTGAAGGCAAACTCAGCAGACCTCCAGGCTGCCAGGGAGTAAAGGCATTCTGGGTAATCCAGGGTGCGAGAAGGAAGAGGGAAAGAAAGGGGGAAAAACTCTCACAAATTCACAACACACACTTGATGCTGTGCATGACGTCGTACACTCAGACAAACACACACACACAAACAAATCCAGTCTCCCACCGCTGAACTATAGAGATACAATATCCATCTGCGTCCATCTGTACATTCATCTGCTGAGACAAACACAAGCTCTGTTTGCAACAGAATATTGAATCAAAAAGCTGCACGGCATCCTGTTCCCTGTTGCCGAACATTAACGATTGGGAGATGTGAAGGAGAATGAGGGAGGACGAGGGAATAGTGAGGGTGGTGGGGTGGAGCAGAGGAGGATACAGGAGTGTCGTCAGTCCGCTTTTATCTCAGCTCTGATTAAACCCTGTTCCTGTCTGACCTAAAAAGTCAGCTGGCGGAAACTTCAGAGACTGTGGGTGAATTTCACTGGAGCTCTTTACACCCAGCCGATGCCTTCAGAGAGGGAGAGAAAGCGAGAGGGGAGATCAGAGAAATAGGACAGAGTGGGCAGATAGTTAAAAAAAATAAAAATAATACACACAGACATAGGCACGCTGTCTTTATGTGCGCACTCTTCACACATTATCATATATATGGATGCACACTCTCCCACACTGCATGTTGTCTGGTCTCTAGACTTAATGAGGACGAGGAAGAGGCCCGTGCTGGGTGGTAACTCCGGGTTAGTTAGTAGTACAATGCCACAGGAAGCAGACGGAGGCTGTGCTGAAATGTGCCAGCGCCGCCCGTCTGGGACAAGCACAACAAAAAACACAAGGTATAAAAATAAACCTGTGCCAGCATGGCAGGGTATCTGCAGGAACAGGAAATATCCCACTGAGGGAGAGACGGCAAGTGAGACATTGGGGAAGACCTTTGGATTGCAGATTTTCTTTTTGTTGTCATGGCTTTTATTGGTGGCGTGTTCAGAAGAGGTGCTGTATTGTAGGTATTGACTGAGCAATTGAATTCAGATCCTTTACTTTAAGATATATTATACAGGACTGTCCTAAAAAAAACTATTTATAGACTCATACAGAAGTAATCCCTCTCAATCGTCACTTATGACCCACCAGAAATATGTGTCAGTGTATTTTTCTGCCCTCTGCCTGCATTTTCTTCTTTTCTTCCTTTCTCTGTTTGTTGTTATGGGCGTGAACCCCCACAGAGCTCAGGTGAGGTCAGGGCTTTATAAAAGGAAGCAACCAGGTGCCAGACCATAAGCAGCAGGCATCTGAAGTAGCAAAAGTCAAAATTCAACACTCAGTACTCAGATAAAAATGTCCCTGTGAGTGTTATACTGTTACTGTTTTTAATCATTTTTACTGTATTACACTGTATTACACATTACACCAGCAGCAGCAGCCTGAACTGTTGATACAAGGCAGGGTAGATACATGCTTTCATGCTGTTTACTCCACCATCTGAATGTCGCAGCAGAAATCCAGACTCATCAGACCAGGCAACGTTTTTTCAATCTTCTGTTGTCCAGTTTTGGTGAGCCTGCGTGTTATTATAGCCTCAGTTTCCTGTTGTTAGCTGACAGGAGTGGCACCCGGCACAGTCTTCTGCTGCTGTAGCCCATCTGCTTCACGGTTCGACATGTTGTTGGTTCAGAGATGGTCTTCTGTCTTCTGCATACCTTGGTTGTAACAAGTGGTTATTTGACTGTTGCCTTTCTATCATATTGAACCAGTCTGGCCATTCTCCTCTGACCTCTGGCATCAACAAGGCATTTTCACCCAGAGAACTGCTGCTCACTGGATATTTCCTCTTTTTGGCACCATCCTCTGTAAACCCTAGAGATAGTTGTGCATGAAAATCCCAGTAGATCAGCAGTTTCTGAAACACTCAGACCAGCCTATTTGGCACCAACAACCATGCCACGTTCAAAGTCACTTAAATCACCTTTCTTCCCCACTCTGATGCTCGGTTTGAACTTCAGCAGGTCGTCTTGCATTGAGTTGCTGCCACGTGATTGGCTGATTAGCTATCTGTGTTAATGAGCAGTTGAACAGGTGTACCTAATAAAGTGGCTGGTGAATGTATATTATTCTGCATGCAACTGTATGATAGCATTAAATAGAAAAACTCCAGTAATGTGAACTAAAGTGCTTGACTAAATATACTAAGTTACTTTCCACCACTGCTGAGCAAAGAAGTGTTGAGTGTCTGCAGACTGGTTTGAGTTGTGATTTTAACTCTGTTTCTTTGTGTGTGTTTGCATCCTCCAGAGTGCTGCAGCAGCTCCCAGCCCCGTCCTTGGGAACCTTCCCCCAGGAGAGGGCATGCCAGTGGGGCCAGTCCCTCCGGGATTCTTTCAGGTATATGGTACACACACACACACACACACACACACACACACACACACATACTAACATACAGAAAGTGAAAGAGAGGAAAGAGAGTTTTCTTTGGGGCCTTCAGGCCACTGAATAGTTCTATTGAATATTTCCATATGTGAGAATTTAATTCATGAATACTTCACTGTTTGTGTTCATGTACAGAACCTTTGTGTGTGGGGGGTGCACCTCTGTGTGTGGGGGGTGCACCTCTGTGTGTTTCTCAAAACGGACAGAAAAGGGCCTGACAGTTGAAATGAATGTCTCGCAAACAAAAAGTCACACGTGCAGCTTCGCCCCAGATCATCGCTGTTCTCCATCAGAATGACTCTGCCAGTTGCACATTGATCAGCCGTCATTATCAGTCAAACTCAGACGCTTGCATCTGACACGCAGATCAATATCCTTCATAGGCATTTCTCAGCTCCGCTTTCAAAAAAACTCCAAACATCCTTTTCCATCTCCTTCTGAAGATCAATTGTTCTTTGAAGACAAGGTGTTGTCAGGACCTATCGGTGAAAGAAACGCAACAATTGCCAGATTGCCAGTTCTCCATTCGGGCTCCATAAAATGATTTGCATATGGACGAGATCGGAGAATATCACATAATTATATTTATTAGCAAAGCATTGCACATCACAGACAATGCACAGCCGTGCTCACAGACATATAACGTCTAGCTTTCAGTGTCATTTATTCATTCATTCAGTTTATTACTTTCTGTGTTTAGTTGTTTGCATTTATTTGTTCGTGCATGTATGAAAACAGGAATGTAAATCATTATAGAGCTTCAATAGACTTAGAATAGTGTAGGTGTTTTCCTTTGATGGACATTCAGCACAGCTGGGAGATGAGACGAGGGGTAATTAAAGAGGAGACCCTGATCAAAACAAGTGGACCATTGCTCTCTAGTGGCAACACATTGCATTGCTTCCCCGACGCTGCAGACTGGCTCCTCTGACCACAGTGGCATCGGTTCAGCAGACATAGCAACAGCATTGCTACTGTCTGTGGTGAGGACAAGTGAAAACCCACTCGCAGCTGCAAAAGAGCTTCTCACTCCTGCTGCCAAACTGCTCACAGTTAACACATAACACTGACATCATTATTAACCAACCTCATCTTAGTCTTTCATTCTTTTTCCATAAATCCAGTCCAATGAAAATGTGGTCGGCGTACTGAGTCTGCTGTCATGGAACTGTTGTTAAATGTGCCCAAAACTCAACAGCAGATTTTTGCAGTGGCCGGTTTCCTGTTTTGAAGTGTGAGAAAACTCCCCATATGGTGCTCTGTGCAGTTTGTACACCATTATTGTTTCTGTGGGCGAGGTATTAAAATAGCAGTCCTGTGTGTTTGTGATTCAGCCTGCTTTAATGTTTTTAATTTAATTTCAGCCGTTCATGTCACCTCGATACCCCGGAGGACCCAGACCACCTCTTAGATTACCGAATCAGGTAAGAGCCACACTGACACCTGCAGGTGGCAGACAGAACTGTAGCTAGTTAGAAATGATTGGCTCTTGGTCTAAAAATAAACCTGTGAGCACACTGTTTCCCAATTCTGGGTTTGTTTTAATAGTCAAAAGCTCAGTGTTGGTTTGTTTAGAAAAGGCTTGTTTGCAAAGGACAAAGGTCAGTGGGCTGGTGACATACTGACGTAGCCAAAACTATGTACTTTTACAATGATAAAAACTGAATTATGGTACAGACACTTATGCTGTGTATAACTTGTTTAAAAGGAGATCTCAGTGTGCTAACTTGAGATCTGCTATGTTGCCTTTGACTGTTAAAACTAGACGGTATTAATTTATAAGAAGAAAAGCAGATTATCTAGATAATCTGTAGAAATTTAATAGTTTTACATGATAACAGTTCATTTGGGATACTGTTTTTGTGTCTCTTTCCTTTTCTTTTTTCACATGCTTTATATAAGCAAGACCGGGAGATGTTTGTACTATAATTTTGTCATCCCATGCGGAATGGGGCCAAATGATTTGGCAAACAAAAATAGAAAATAAAGAAATAAATGAATTAGTATAAATGGACAGTATCTGTGTTACTGTGATGATAATGAGGGGATGGGTCTTCTTTTCCCTCTGCAGGGACTTGGAGGAGTCCCAGGTAGTCAGCCTATGTTGCCCAGTGGAATGGACCCCACAAGACAGCAAGGTATGCACACACACTGGTATGCACAAACACAGACACATGATGTTACAGCACATGTGCTCAGTCAGCACCCAGCCTGTTGAGGAACAGATAGACAGACAGACAGAGTCACAGCCTGATAGAGCTTTTATCATAGAACTGATGTCCCAGAACTATTTACAAGATTAAGAGTCTACAGCCACAGTTCTATAAAGCTGCACTTTGGCACAGTGGCATTTTGACCTAAATGCTAATGTTGGCATGCTAACATGCTCCCAGTGGCAATGCTAACATATTTAATTAGCACTAAAAGGATAATATGAATGTCTTTAGCTTTGCAGGTATTTAGTCATGAATTTAAATTTGACTTGATGGGGGAGCCTATCCCAGCTGACACTGGGTGAGAGGCAGGGTACACCCTGGACAGGTCGCCTGACTATCACAGGGCTGACACATAGAGACAACCATTCATGCTCACATTCACACCTACAGGCATTTTAAAGTCAGCAATGACCAATCACCAAGTGTTAAGACACAGAGAAAACCCACTGAACATGCAAACTCCACACGGAAGGCCCAAATGGCCGGCTGGAAACCTGAAAGCTTCTTGCTGTGAGGCAACAGTGCTAACTACTGCACCACTGCCGGGAACATGAATGTCATCTCAAAATCACAACTGTCACCATCATAGGTGCGAAAAAGTCAGGGCGTCACCAAGTCAGTAGGATTCATCCTGTGGGGACTATGGATGTCTGTACCAAATTTAATGTGAATGAGTTCATTGTTAGTTTAGTCTATTTGTGGGATTTGTAGATAGTAATAAAAAGATCTCTTCTTACCCTTTAAGTACAACCCTGTTTACACATACTACTTACTCCTTCAGACAGCACATGAATTATGCAGAAGTAAAAAGACGCAGAATGTTCAGTTACTGTTAAACTCAACATTAGAATGAAAAAAAAACACTGTATTTGAATTTTGTATGATGGTTAGTCCCATCATCTCAGAAATTGATGCCTTCTAAGGGTTTTGCAACAATGCGGTGTCCAGATGGAGGTGTAAAATACAACATTACATGAAGGGAACAGGCTTTTTTGAAGAGAGTACAGTAGAAAATAAAAACACATGACGGGAAATTGCTGACTGAATAATAGAAAACTCACCCCAGTCACACCCAAATACACTCATGTGGAACAAACGGATGGTCGGTTGTAGTTTCACAGTTTTCCTGTGGTTCAGGACATCCAAATATGGGAGGACCGATGCAGCGGATGACTCCACCCAGAGGCATGGTACCGCTCGGGCCCCAGGTACGGGACCAGATGATTTCAGGGGATATATACAAAGCGTTGGTTCTGACAGTTACTCTCGTGTAGACATCAATGAGGACATTTGGTGTCTTCTGTTTCAGGGCTATGGAGGTGGGATGAGACCTCCACTGAATGCCCTGGTTGGTCCTGGGATGCCCGGCATGAACATGTGAGTGGTAGCAACATAATGTGATCTACACACTCACACACACACAAACACACACACAATGTAACTGACCTTTCACTCAGAGGGACATTAAACTGCAAAAGTCTTTAATCTCTCTCGACAGTAGATGCAGTCAGCCATTTGCTTTCTGTAGCTTTTAATTACACTTTACTGTATGTTCTTGGCTCTTAGAGGACTGGAAGCGGAGCGAGAAGCCAGCTTTCCTCTATTTTGTTTTCTTTTCTTCTTTTCTTTTTTTTGAAACTTGTTGTTCCCATCACCTCTCGCTGGCAAGAGAGGAGCTTGTTGTTGCCAACGCTGCCCAAATGAATTGGAAACAAAGATGCTTGCCAAAAGCGGACAACTAAAGTGTATAATTGTGTGTGTGTTCCAGGGGACCTGGTGGGGGTAGACCCTGGCCAAATCCTCCAAACTCCAATTCGGTAAGTGCTCTTACAAAGACACCCAAGACAAGGTTTAACAGATATTTCATTTCTTTAATGATTTCTCTTCTTTTTTTTTTTTCCTTCTTTTTTTTCCAGACCCCATACTCTTCTGCATCTCCAGGAAGTTACGTGGTATGTATGTTTGAGTTTAAATTATGATTATTTTCAGGGTCATATTTGTATTTAAGTTTTCGACTAAAATATATATGTAAATGCTTTAATGTTCAAAACTGTAGGTGCTGGAACACCTATATCCAACCGCTACGTTTTTGCGCCTGTCTCTTTAAGATCCAGCCCACCCTTCTAAACACAACCTTGATCCAGCAGGAATATGATCAGAAATCAGGGAGAAATTAATAACATCAGCAACCAAGACTGCATATTTCTGTTAGTGCATGTAGGCACACGAAGCAGTGTGGGCTACATGCCTGTAGCAGATCAACAAGAAATTCGTCAGGAGCTGAGGTCAGCTGGTCTCAAAAGTAGACAATAACAGGCTTTTGCTCACACACAGGGGCATACATTTCTCCTTTCCATATTTGGAGGTGAGGGAACATATGCAATGGGGGGGTTGGGGGTACTCTACCAGAACATTTTAAGAATCAAACATGTAATTTTTTGCATTCTGGAGATTTTTAATGCACCAATTTGTGGTTTCATCCACATCAATTTACGGTGTAAATGTCTACGATTTTGCCCTCAGCAACTTGAATGTTTTTATTAGGGGAGGGAGAAATGCACAGGTTGTAAATATTGAGGGGGAGGTGTCCTTTGCGTCCCCCTGAAATCAGTACCTTTGTTACATGGGTTCCTTTTACATACAATGGCCACGCTTAATATGAACATCCATCATTCTTACAGATTTGACAGAAAATGAGAAAAAGTATAACAGGTCCCCATTATACTGTCTTTATTCACTAGCTGTATGGGCTGAAATTTATTAGTTCATTAATGAATCTTACGGAAACCACCTGTGATTTCAGGGACCTCCAGGAGGAGGGGGGCCACCCGGCACTCCAATAATGCCGAGTCCAGCAGGTAAGGCTTGTGTATCCATGTGCGTGAGTGTGAGTTTGTACTGTCATGGAAAACTGTGAAGATGTGAAGCACCCAGTCACATTATCAATACACACCAAACACCAAAAGAGTTTAAGTAAAATAATTGTAATTATAAGGAGACAAATACAGATCTTCTTATACAGAAATTGTCTCAGTGTGTGAAAGAGACTATATCCATTACATATTATAGAGACAAAGAAAGTCAAAGTGACTGGCTGTTTGCCAAATGATAACAACTTTCCTCCAATCCCAAAAAGCCATTTAAAAGTCATACTATAGTCATGTTACGGTCACCATATCTGGACACTAACTTTTAGTTTAGACAGTTACAAAGCATAGTTCTGTGTATCCTCAGATGCCCACTCAAACCAAAGTCCATGAAGCAGGCTGCGAGAAAAGTCACGATTTAAAAAAAAAAAAAAAAACCCCTAATGTTTCATAATAGTGCTTCCTTATTAAATGATAACCTTATTTGTTTAATCTTCATCTTACTTTCACAGTACACATGTTTATGCTTTTTCATCCTCTTAATGTTTCTCCGTCAGATTCAACCAACTCTGGTGACAACATGTACACTATGATAAACACAGTCCCTCCAGGGGGAAGCCGACCAAATGTGAGACATTTCTCTCTCTGTATACATCACTGTGTCTGGTTGTAGACATTGTGTGTGGATGTAATCATTCTGTGATGTCTCCTGTGTATGTTCTCCTCAGTTCCCTATGGGTGCAGGTGGCGACGGTCCATTAGGTGGCATGGCTGGCATGGAGCCCCATCACATGAATGGATCATTAGGTACAGTGTGTGCTGCACTGACACTAAATCTGACACTAATCTGGTTATATTTTCTTCCCCTAATTTAAGTAAAACCAGTTTTCATTCAATAATGGTGGTTTGTGTTCATCCTTGTGTTCCCTCTCTCAGGGTCAGGTGATATGGACAGTCTCCCCAAGGTGAGACAAGATGCTACCTTGAAACTCCATTTTAAAATTGCAGTATTTTTCTTCCATAGCTTTAGTAGCATTCAGTTACCAATAATCTGTCTTACAATCTTTTTTTCAGAACTCTCCTGGTAACCTAAGTATGAGTAACCAGCCTGGGACCCCCAGGGAGGATGGAGAGATGGGAGGAAACTTCCTTAACCCTTTTCAGAAAGAAAGTGTAAGTCAGAAGTTAGCGGGATCTCAAAACTTAATACCAAAGTTAGGTTAAAAATGGGTCTGAATAGTTTGGCATTTTGGCCAATACTCTTATTTGTTTCCTTGCAGAGAGTTAGATGAAAAGATTGATACCACTCTCAAATCTGTACGCTAAATATGAAACTACAGCCAGCAGCTAGTTGGCTCTGGGGAAACAAATGACTCTGTCCAAAGAAGAAGAAATCCACTTAGCATCTCTTAAGTGATACACGTAATATGTCATGTGAAGGAGTTTCCAACTGTTGCTTGGCAACCACACTGTGACAGCAATACTCCAGGAAGTCACTTTGGATTAAATAAACAAGATGTGTGGATGTAGGGCTGTCAAATGATTAAAAAGATTATCTGATTAATTACATGCTCGGTGATTAATTAATCTGAATTTAATAAAAATGTGAAAGTATTTAAAAAATTTAAATTCAGATGAATTTTGGCAGGGTGGCACGGTGGTGTGGTGGTTAGCACTGTCGCCTCACAGCAAGAGGGTTGCTGGTTTGATCCCGGGTGTGGGAGCCCTTCTGTGCGGAGTTTGCACATTCTCCCCGTGTCAGCGTGGGTTCTCTCCAGGCACTCTGGCTTCCTCCCACAGTCCAAAGACATGCAGATTGGGGACTAGGTTAATTGATAACTCTAAATTGTCCATAGGTGTGAATGGTTGTTTGTCTCTATGTGTCAGCCCTGCGATAGTCTGGCGGCCTGTCCAGGGTGTACCCTGCCTCTCGCCCAATGTCAGCTGGGATAGGCTCCAGCCCCCCCGCAACCCTCAAGAGGATGAAGCGGTTAGAAGATGAATGAATGAATGAATGAATTTTGGCATATGTGTCTACCACCGAAACTGGTCTGTAGTCCATTGCAATTTTGTCAGTCGGTCACAGGTAGACTCACTCAGTTTGTGTCTGAATGCCTGGGCCCATATTCACGAAGATTCTCAGAGTCCTCTCAGAGAGCTCCTAACTTAGCCTAAAAATTCCTAGCAAGGAATCTTAGCTTAAGAGGGATTCAGGAAGTTTCTGAGAGCAACTCTGAGCAAGGAGGGGACAGAAACTTTTATCTTAGTGAGGTGTGGTTGACCCCGTTACTAGGTATGACGCATTCTTCTAAAAGCTGTGATTGGTTGTTACAAAAAGGAAAAAAAGAAAGAAAAAAAAATCTGAAAAAAATGCGCTCCTAGTAATGAATGGACAGTGAAATCAACCGATCATAGAACTTAGACTGTAGGCTATTAAGAAATGTGTAATCGTGAAAATAATTTTATGTCATGATGATGAAACTCAGCAAAATTAAATTAATTGTTACACAGCTTCAAAATGTTTGAACGTACCTCATTCACATGCCGATTATTATATTGATTTGCTTATTGTTATGTTTACTCGCCATGCTGGTAATTTTACTACTTAATCTACTTGATATTAATGGTGGACGCAGAATCAGCTGTCAGCAATTACTGTGATTGCTGGCCTTGTAAAAAGCGATTTGATTTGGCAGAATGGCCAAAACAACAAATGAAATGGAGAAAAAAAGAACGAGAAAGCCGAACTGGACAGAAGAGCAGTGCCTGCTGTTGGCGCAGCTTGTGGAGGAGAACAAAGGAGTTTTAAGAGGGAAATTCGGTCCCGGGATCACGACACAAGAGAAGATGTAGACTTGGGAGCGCATTGCCCGACAAATCAATGCGTCGTTCCCTCTCCTTTTACGCACAAGCGATGAATGTGAGAAGCGCTGGTATGCGCTGCAATCCAAAGATTCTAAGAAATTCTAAGAAAAATCTTAGAATTTGAGGAATTCTAAGAATGACATCACTAAGAGCTACCTTTAGTCTTAGGATTCTTTGTGAATACGGGCCCTGATCGTGATGAGGCTGACTTCTAGCACTAGCATCAGAGGCTGTGCCAGCTTGGACCTCTGAGTTTGCTGCTAAATGCTTTGCGCTGAGGTGATATTTCAGGTTTTAATTACTGCGATTGTACGAAAATTCCTTACTGTATAAAATGCAGAGAACGGTGCTCCTATCAACAGTTCCATCTGGGCGTTTTTAAAATGCTAATGTTCCATTCATTGGGCCAAGCAGCATCGTCTCCCTCCGTCATGTGACAAAGGCACTGTGGCCTTCAATGACACACCGGGTCAAAGGTCACCATGGAACACAATTAATCAGTGTTGATTTTTTTAACATGGTATTTCTTTGTGATAAATTAATCAAAATTAATGTGTTAATTTGACAACCCTAAAACACAAACATAATTCCCAAATTGTCGAACTTTTCCTTTAACTAAAGTTAAAGGTATACTATGAAGGTTTTTCCTAAAAAACAATGTATAGACTCATACAAAAGTAATGACAATTACTGCATAGTATACCTTTAAACATTCATAAAAAAAATATTTGACTTTAACCATTGCATTTGGAGGGATTTTGGTGTATAATGGTGAAAAATACTCACACACGCTTTTCTTCCCATTGTATCTCTGCAGTATTCTCCGAACATGACAATGAGCGTGTGAAGGCTCTGGACGCAGGTTTGGTTCAGTCGCCCAGTAACCTGGTGTGGATCGGTGAAAAGCAGAGAGACAGGATGTGATGTCATCTAGGCCAGTGACTTCACCACCTCCACCACCACCTGCCTAGTCAGGACAGTTGCCCCAGGCTCCGTCCTCCCCTCCCCACCCCACCCACCCCACTCCTCCGTTGTTCCTGTCCACGTCTCTCTCTCCTGTTTCTTCTCCCGTTCTAAGTGGTGACTCTGCTACATTCATCAGTTCTTCCTCTGCAACTATGAGACTGTACAAAGGAACCAAATTGAAACAACCTGGAGGAGAACTCTTTGTATATTTGCATACGGTGTGTATGAGACTGTGCACACACTCCAGTCACAGACAGACGTGTCTGCCTTTGGCATCATATTACAGAGTTCATGCCCAAAAACAAACGGCCAGTATCCTATTTATGCTAAAGTTTAAATTTCCAAGGGTTTGAAAAATAACAGATACTTTTTGATTGTCAAATTTAATCTAAGTGGGTCTCACAAGGAACTTTTTTTTTCTTTTCTTTACAAATTAATTTGTCCATAACTGAAAGAGAATTGGAGAGACATCACAATATTACCAATAAGTTTATCTGAGGCTTGTGCAGGTGTTTGTCTTTTCAACTTTTGTGGTTGTCTGAATCTTTAAGACCACTAACATTGTGTTTCATGTTTTATACTATGGGCCGTTTCTTTTTTCTGCGCTCCCCAAACTCAAGCCACAAATGTGGGAAATGTGAAATCTCTTTAAAGTTAGCTCTTTAACCACGATTTGCAGAAAGGCTTCAACTGAAATATTTGTCCGCATCTATCGAATGGTTTTTGAGAAAAATAAAGTGCTTTGTTCGAGGCCTAAGGCGAGACGATGCAACTTCAGTTAACAGCGCTACCAGTCATACCTGACCAAGCAAGGCTGTAGAAACAAAATCCCTGAGTGTACTGAATTGAGCAATGCCTATTAATTTAACTTTCTATTCATAAGAGGAAGAATGTGTTACTTCTTTTTCAAGTTGACATAGTCTCTCTTTAAATCAGATCAGTCACTACACTGACACTGAGGAATACGGTTAGCACAAAGGTCGATACCCAGTAGTACAGACTGAAAATGTTTTCTATAATTAAGCATGGCGTCGTTCTGTATTCAGTGATAAACCTTTGTTGCGTTCACACTGTTAGACTTCCCAGTGTGAGTGGCTTACATTTGGAGGGTTTTACATTCTGTTGACTGCACAGGCACAGGGCAAAGTTTAGGATAGCTGAGTTTTTTTTGGGACTGTGTTATCTTACAAGAGGGGATACTGAATTTGTGCATGCAGTCATACGATTTTTTTTTTTTTATTATTGATTTTTTTTTTTTTTTGAGGCCTCTCTCGTCTCTAGTTATTTAAACTTTTATCCAAATGATTTATCAGTTTATGTCCTGCAGCAACAGTTGCAAAATGGATACAATGGCCCACATTCTCTGGACGTAAAACGTTAAAAAGACAGAGACAAATCAAAGACACATGACCAGTATTGAGCGTAAACTGTAAGACACAAGCTTATAAAGTCACTTTGGTCACTCATACTTTATTGCCATCCGGATAAACTGTGATCTCAGTGTGATGTGAAAGGTTTGTTGGTACAGAAAGCTAAAAACAAGCTTGTTTTTAAATCAATGTTTTAGACTTTTTTCACTGCCCAAAATGTATTATCATTGTGTACAAACGGACGATAATGCCTGTGAACATTTTCCTCTCCCCTCTCTTACTGCAAAGTGTACAGCTCACAAATGTAGCTCCTCTGTCTCGTATGTGTATTTGATATTATTATTATTTAAAGAAAAAAACTGGAGAGAATTCATGCAAAAGGGAGGGATGGACTGATGACGCACCATCACAACTGAACAGAGATATTTTATTTTGATTTTTTTTTTTTTTTTTTGTGTGTGTGTTAGATTGAAGCCATAAGTGGGAGTACAAGAAGATGCATTTGTAAATTGGGTCATGTTTTTCTGTTTTGTGGCAGTATGTGGGACTCCATTTGTGACGTGTTCATTTTCTCTTTTTTATTCTTGTATTATGTTTTTGTAAATACACAGAGAAGTATTTCATGGGTTTTGAATATGCTAGTATAAAGCTTCTCTTCCCTTAGTCACAGTGTCAGCTCTTGTCGTTTGTGAGGACTGCGTGTGTGGACATGAGCGCAGTCACTTCAGGGTGTATATTGTAGACAAAGTGTTATCACGAGTTATGCCTCTCTAAGTCGTGTGCTTTGGTGCAATCTGCTCTGTGTTGTGAAGCAGAGAAGTGTCTGCAATGTGAAAGAAAAACCACTAACTGTGATCCATACACTTCTATCCTAGTAGGGGAAAGGCAAGATTTTTTTTGTGGAGTGCTGCAGGGACAACGTTGTTTTGTAGGCCAGCCTGGAAGTTAGCATCGCCCGGGTTCTCCCGACCAAGAGCCCATAGGAGTTTTTGATTGGCTTATGATATTAGCAGGTTTTGTTCAGAAAGATTATCTTCACAAATGAACACCACTTAAATCATTTTTGAGGCATAAATGCAATTTCCAGAAGTAAAACGCTAACGTTAGGCTAACATTAACATTAACGGTAGTTTTTCAAAAACAACCAAAAAAAAAATATAGCGCAAGTATAAACACAACACAACACTGTGAAGGCAGACCAGTCTAGTTAGCAGATGAATTTCCATGTTGGGAATGATGATGTTAAATGTCCCTGGCAACATCTGTAGTCTCGCTTAGCCACTTGTTAGTAATCGCCTTTTTTGAGACATGTAAAAGCTTTAAAAAATACAAGGAAAGTATTTACTGACATATTTTCATACAGCAAGACGTGAAAATCTCTGAAGCTTGTGTCAGTCACAGACCTTTTTTCAGGCATCTTATCAAACCCATTCAAGAAACCCACTGAATTCAAGACGAGGGAACAAGTTTTAGGACTCCTTCCTGCACCACTCTGTTACCACCAGTGAGGTCCCCTTTAGCCACTCCCCTTGAGCAAGGAAGCTAGACAGCCTCCAAATGTGAACTGCGTAATCATTAAGGTCACTCCTATAACGAAACATCCAAGATCCAGGACGACATCAGGAAGATGGCCCCCAAAGATGAGCTGCCAAGTGAATACCTGAATACCTCAGGCAGCAGAAACCTGAGAATGCAGGAGTGGAAGATGAACTGTCATGCCCCTGCACAGCATGTACCACTGACAGCTCAGAAGCACTAATCATGGCAGCACAGGAACAGGCACTTGGTACAAGATCAACAGAAGCAGGGGTCTACCACACCAGACAGGACCCCACGTGCAGGCTGTGCAAAGATGCTCCTGAGACACTTCAGCACATAATAGCAGGGTGTAAGATGCAAGCAGGATCAGCGCACATGGGACGCCACAACCAAATGGCTGGTGTAGTGTACAGGAACATGTGCACTGAGTATGGGCTGGAAGACCCCAAGGTTACAATGGAAGACACCTCCTACGGTGGTTGAGGATGGCCGAGCTAAGATCCTGTGGGACTTACAGATCCAGACTGTCAAACTGGCGATGGCTAACCAACTGGACATTGTGTTGATTGACAAACAACAGAAGAAGGCGGTGGTGACAGATGTAACAATCCTGAACGACGGCAACATCAGGAAGAAGGAATACGAGAAGCTCGAAAAATACCAAGGGCTAAAAGAGGAGCTGGAAGAGATGGGGGGAGTAAAGGCAACAGTGGTGCCAGTGGTAATCGGAGCACTCGAGGCTGGGAGAGTGGCTCCAGCAGATTCCAGGTACAGCATCTGAGGCCTGTGGTAGAGGACCCGAGCTTGAGGAAGACACACCACCACCCCTTTTTTTTCACACTGCCCAGAAAAATGGTGGATTGTTTTTACACTTCAGTTTTTGTATGGAATTTTGATTAGTGAGCTTTAGATTGGTATGCAGGTTTTGTTACCTTTGGACAGAGCCAGTCTATACCCTGTTTGCAGTCTCCATGCTAAGCTAAGCTAAGCTAACCGGCTGATGGTTATAGCTTCATGAAAATGGCATCTCGTCTAACTCTTTGCTAGAGAGGGAATATGCATATTTACCAAAATGTTGTTGCGTATATTATGGGCACATTTTCATTAGTGGAGCACAAATCGTGGTAGCTGGAAGAAACAGTGCGCTGAAAACCTTTCACGAACAGATTTACATTGTGACTGGAATCCAGTGTAAGATTATAGAAGATTAAACCTTTGCAAGCTTTCAAGGTGCACATAGTGAAATAAGAGGCTACTGTACTGTAGTTATAATGTACTTTACACATAATTACACCTAGCAGCACACTCCTACAAGTCAGAGAGTTCAAAAGGAGTGGGTTCAGAAAGTTTTCACATGTTGGCTGCAATACTTATTTACTTATTTACTCACTGACTGTAAACTCCATGTGCAACCCACTTTATGTCAACACTGCATGTAGATTATTTTTCATATGACTACGGTGTTTGCATATTGCATGAGGGCGTCTCTCTCTTTTTGTCCTCAAACACACAACACACACACGGAGGAGGAGGAGGAGGAGGAGGAGGAGTGAGACTGTGATCACCGACAGAAGGAATAATTCATCCTGCACAACAGAAGACAGTAGGAGGGAAAGCGAGAGAGCCTTTGGCAGAACCACAAAGAAGACTACAGTAGTTCTCTTGTATTACACTCTGATATAGCTTCTCACACACGAATAAGCAAGAAGCATTTACTATATATAAAGTATTTATCCTTATCTTCCGCACGAGAAAACTGAGCAGTGGAGTCATCTGCAAATACAGTTTGCCTCTTGCCAGAGCCAAACTTACACTCTTTGTTGTCTGCTGAAAGGCCTTTGAACTATTGTGCAATCCCATCCTTTCACATGCAAACTGTAGTTTCCACCCACCTCCCTTATTCCTCTCGAAATCTCTCTCTGTCTCTCATTCTAACTTCCTCTCTGCTAGTCTTCAGGGTGGCCTTCCTGCAAGACAGCTGTCCTGTTCTGTTCTGTTCTTGCTGTTGTATCCAGTTGGCTGTGATCTGACTTCTAATCATGTCTGTAGAGTTTTGTTTAGCTTTGCTGGCTCTCTCCTCTCTGACTGCTGCATCTGATCCAGGCTGTGAAGAGCTGCTTAAACCTCTGGAGGATCAAAGCCAGGTATGTTGCCCTCAGCATTTACATACAAGTGAAGTTGATATTTGCTTTGTTTCAAAAGGCCACGCGTGGTGGTTTTGCATCATGACTTAACCTAAGTATAACTTACATTATAACAACAGCTTTAAAGCCTAGTTATGAGTGAAATTCGTAAGCTACAGTTATTATTTAATCTTGGTTAGCGGGGGGTAGACAAAATAAGGGGCCTCCCTACTGACACCAGCAGAAAACATAGTAAACAAAATTTAAATAGACTCAAACATGATTTATTTATATATTGTGCCCATCCCCAAATGATAGGAATGCCATCCAAAAAAGAGGAATCAAACTCACCGGGGTGGAATTTAAAAAACAATCCAGTCATACTTGGTAGTGGGCTCAGTTCCTTTCTGGTCCTCCACACACACGGTTGAGGAATCACCAAAAACACAAATCCATTGAAGTTTATTCTACTTACAAGGCAGGCTGTCTCCTACCGGCCACGAACCTTCACCTCAGTGCAACACACCTGAACCCAGTTAACTCACAGGTGGCAACAAGATAGAGCAGGGGTGAGAGGGGGACACTGCAAGACACATTGAGATTGTATTCGAAGGCTATTCTCTTTTAAAACCCTCTAACAATCCTGTGCATGCCTCTCCCGTCACCTTTGTGTCGGTGTCACCACATTATTTTTGTTGGGTAATACAACTGATACCAAATACTGTATACTTTCTTGACAATGGTTTCACAGATCTACAACATGTGGGGTTTAAGAGCTCCAAATTCTTTTTTTATACAAGTATAAATTTGTACATTTTTAATTTTGCACATCTGTTCATAGGTTTCTGGAAAATGGATATTCCACGCTGCAACATCGGACAGTGAAGAGATGATGAACTCATTGAGAACTCTCGACAGTTCCTGGATTGAACTCTCACCCAAACCTGATAGTGATGACATGATCCTTCGCTGGGGAGACAAAGTGTAACTGTTAATGATCTTTTGAAAATTAATGTTATTTCATTACCTTTAAGGCATAAGAAACACTAAAAAAGAAATGCACGTCCCAGTGCTTATTGGAGTGGGTGCTGGATCAAAGAAATATCTGAGTTGAAACAAATCGATCAGCAAAACAAATAGCTCCCACTGAAAGTATTTTTCTTCAGAAGTCTGGCAAACAGCTGTTTGCCCAAAACGTTGCACAATGGCTTTAAAGGGAAATTTCGGTGTGTGACTAGTGACATACAGATAATAGTTAGCATGTTAGCCATTAGCCTAGATACAGCCGTAGCGTCAGACCTGTTAAAACGTAAGTGAACAGGCATCCTTTCAAGTGCAAAGTTAGTCCACTAAACAAGCTTTTTTTCTCCACAAAGACCGCCTCATATCGTTAGGATAAATGTCAGAGACCATATAGATGATAAACAAACATGGCAGCACACCGGTAAGGTAAGACAGCACATTTACATGTCATTTTCTATATGTTCTCTGACATTTATCCTAAAGATATGAGGCAGTCTTTGTGGAGAAAAAGCTTGTTTAGTGGACTAACTTTGCACTTGAAGGGATGCCTGTTCACTTACGTTTTAACAGGTCTGACGCTACTAATGCGCCCCGGCTGTATCTAGGCTAACGGCTAACATGCTAACTATTATTTCTATGTCACTAGTCACATGAAACAAATTTAGGACGATAGGAGACAGGTTGAAATAAACCGAAATTTCCCTTTAAAGGTCCAGTGTGTAGGATTCACAGGGATATATTGGCAGACATTAGATATAATGTATTAAGTATGTTTTCTTTAGTGTATAATAACCTGACCATAAGAGTCAAAGTGTTACCTTAGAATGAGCTGTGTACCTACATAGGGAGCCGGTCCTCGTCTACGTAGCCCGTCATGTTGCACTGTCAGGTTTCTACAGTAGCCTAGAACAGAAGAAAACAAACACGTGTTTTTGTATCAGCTACCATTATTAGCAGCCCCTCCACGATGAGCTAAAC